ATATATTATTATTAATTTTGTATTATTATTAAATTGTAATTATTATTTGTAATTATTATTTGTAATATTATTTGTAATCTGTATACGTTGTGAATAAAGTAGAATATATATTTTTTAATTAACACAGCCCCTGAAGAGGCACTGGTCTACGGCAGGGCACCACATAAAACACATGTAATACTAACTTACCAATTTAAGAGACAATAAACATATTTGATCAATTAGAAACCTCTGTAAAGAAACTTATCCATCTAAATGATTGTTATTACCTCAGGATTGTTGATGTCAGGTATGGTATATTCGGTAATTTCCCCGTCTTCACATTCTTCCTCTTCCTCCTCCGTCTGCACCTCATGGTCATCATTCTCTGGGCCCTCCACCTGAGCTCTGACTTCGGATAACACTTCCTTCTCAATTTGTTCTTCATACTCCATTTCCGCATGTTTCAACTCGTGCTCTTCAAGTTGCTCAGAAGTTTCAAAGCTGTATCCGCACTTTTCGCAGCGGAATGGCAAACGTGTTAAATGTGTCGTGATGTGGTCTTTGACCAAGTCGGCTGTCTCAAACGCAGTATTGCAGATGACGCATCTCAGATTAACCATCGAATGAATAACGCTGTGGTTTATCAAGGAATCCTTCTTCTTGAACGCCATGCTGCAAATGTCGCACTTATGCTGACCTATGCCGGACTGCCGAGATGTAGACTGCACCACGTAGTGACTACGCATATGCCTCGTTAGATGGTGACTCAACAGGAATGTTCTGCGGCACAGCTTGCACGGATACGGCCGTAAACCGGCGTGGGAAGTTATATGTCTGGTCAGCTTGATGGCCGAAGTGAAGCTGGCCTCGCAGTAATTGCACTTGTGAGGTCTGTCTTCCCTATGAACTACCATGTGACGTTCGAGACCTTGCTTGAAAACGAAGCTCTTGTCGCACACGTTACAGTTGAACGGCTTCTTTTTGTTGTGCTTCTCCATGTGAAAATCCAAATATTCTTTCTTCAAAAATGTTTTGTCGCACTGGAAAATTATTATTATTATTATTATTATTATTAAATCAACTTCATCTATCTTCCACGAATTACGGTTTGAACC